CACTCCCACCCCTCCCCCGGGCTGCAGACAACCCACCAGGTGGGAGATCCTGGCTAGCAGCCTACATGAAAAAATCAAGGAGCATTTTAAAGGGGAAGCCGAGTGTCCTTGGGGCGCCCACGAGATCCAGCCTCGCTCAGAGCGATCTCACTTCCTCCAACAAAGGGGTGAGCTGTTGCCAGGTGAAAGGGAAACTGAGGTACAGGGGAAGGAAAGACAGGCTGGGAGTTGTGTGCCTGTGGTAAGGGGTCAACAGCACAGAGGCAGGTCTGCGTGGAAATATCCTCCAGGAAATGCAGAGGCTGGTGGGAAGCAGTTCTGTGGATCTGGGATGGGGGTGAGGCGGGCGGGGATGGGCCTTGCCTGAAGATTCAGGAAGGGTGGGGCTGTCTCCACAGATGAGGTGTTGCACCGAGGTGGAGACATCCAGGCTCTCGCTGGTGAAGGGGTCGACCAGCGGGATGCAGTTGTTCTGCCCTGGAAGGCAGAGGATGTGAGGTGGGGGCTGGATGCCAGGGAGCCCTGGCAGCCCACCGGAACCGAGGGGCCTGCCGGCACCACGGGGTCCTGCCAGACCCACTCCTCCGGGACGAGAGGTCGGGTCTCCCCGTGGGCCAAGAGCCCCAGACCTTTCATTTTGTTTGTTTTCCCATGCAAGTCATGCCTTGTTAAAATGTTAACACTCCATGGATGCCCCCTCAGACTCCCTTAGGCAAGGGTCTCTGCAACGTGATCCCTTGTGGAAGTCACACTGTGCCTTGAAAGGAAAAAAGATGTGTGCAAAACAGGCTCACCAGGAAGCCTCACATCTGGAATCTCCATGACTCATTATGTGAGCATGCATGCTTACTGATTCTCTCACACACACACACAGCCACCTGCCTACACACACATGCACTCACATGCATGTTCACAGAGACATGTGTGTACACACATACACATGTGTGCACGGCAGGAGGTCTTTGGAGCATTAGTGGAGTCTGTCAGATGGATGAACACACAGCTCTGTCCCTCCTCCCGGGCTGCACTGATGAAGCCACCAGCACACACGCTTATACACATATACACGTACATGCACATGCACTCTCACATATACCATACGTTCACATTACACTTCACACTAATACGTGCTCACACACCCTCACCCTCTCATATGCACTCGCACATATGCCATCACGCGACATCCTCATTCACGTACTCACACGCAATGACACACTCTCACTCACACCCTCAGATTCATATACACATTTATATTTACATGCACACATGGACATAGGCTCACACACACTCACACCGACATATCTGCACACAGGCTTGCATTCACACACGCATGCATACTCACATACATGCCGCATTCTCACATGTTAAACTGCACATATACACTCACACAAGTTGGCACACACTCACACGCTCACACAGGTCTCTGCTGCCCCAGCCTTTGTCTGTGCAGGGGAAGACCCCCAAGCTGGTCCCAGCATGGTGAGGAGGGAGCTGTGAGGGTGGTGGGGGGCGGTGGCAGGTGGGCCCTCTAGCCTGCTGGGAAACCCTGTTCTCTCCTGGACCAGTGGCCTCTATACATGCTGGAAATCCCTGTACATGCTGGAAATCCCTGCCCTGGGTGTGTCAGGAGGTGTGGGGTGTGCAACCCTGGCTGTACCTGCCAGGGAGCAGGGACAGGGGCTGCCAGGCCCAGGCCTCTGGAAGGTGAATAGGAAACAACTCCTGGCTGGGCTGGGTAGCTCAGCCTGTAATCCCAGCACTTTGGGAGGCCGAGGCGAGTGGATTGCCTGAGCCCGTGGGTTCGAGACTAGCCCGGGCAACTTGGCAGGCCCTCGTCTCTACAATAAATAAAAAATTAGCCTGGCATGGTAGCGGGTGCCTGTAGTTCCGGCTACTTGGAAGGTTGAGGCGGAAGGATCGCCGGAGCCCAGCAGGTGGACGCTGGAGTGGCTGTGAGTGTGCCACTGCACTCCAGCCTGGGCGATGGAGTGAGACTCTGACTCAAAAAAAAAAGAAGCAACTCCTGGTCACCTGGATGAGGCCCCCCAGCTACACACATTGGGCTTCCCTGCCCCACACTCCACCCCCACAGCTCCTTCTCCAGGAGGGGGTGCCAGGGTCTCTCCTCTCCTCCTGGGCTGCAGCCCCTGTAGTGGCAAGCACAGCCACTGGGCACCCGGGAGCTGGGCGCTGCCAATCCTCTCCCTTCCTGATCCTCTGACCATCTCCCAGGGAGGGAGTGGCATCTGGTTCCCCAGGAGGCACCCTTTTCTCCCCATCTCGGTTACCAAGTCACGGTTGGAGAGGAACAAGGTCCCGCGTCACCGGCAGCAAGTGGCAGAACCCATGTGAGCCTCGGGGTGGCCTGCCGTCTCCCAAGTGATGC